GATAGGTCTACACACTGACGATGCTTTATTAAGGGCATTTCATTATCTTATAAAATATTCTGTAAGAATGTTTTAACTTTACGATGCACTCAAATGTCACTTTAAAAGAAATGAAAAGATAAACGTCTTTTTGCATTTCATGCTACGTAAACTGATTCTCATTTGATATAACCCTTTCTATCAAAGCAATTGCATATGGGTTAAAAATAGGTGTGGATTTTACTGGAAACAAGCTAAACTGAAAATCATGACATAATTTGAAAAAGCGTTACAGGATGGTTGCTCATAGAATTCATTCATAACTATATCAAAGGCATTTTACTTCTGGCAAGTTTTCCTTTCGAAAAGCATCAGGTGCTCACGGACTGCCAGCGAGGGTGAGGTCATGAGCGGTGCTGGGAACATGTTCACACAGAGGGCTCCTGACGCCCAGGCAGTCCTCGTCGCTAATGTAGAAGTAGTGGCGGAAGGTGACGGCGGCGCAGAGCTGCTGGGAGTCGCGCCGCGGCGCCTGCTCGTAGTGGTAGCAGGCCGAAGTGTTGGTCCAGTAGGCGACGTCTTCAGGCTTGGCGTGTGGCGCCGACTCCTGCTGGCGCTGCTGCAGCTGTTGGTGTGTCTGCGGGGGAAAGAAACGTCACTGCACTGTGTAATAAGAAGTCGTGGGCTCACTTGCTCTGTGTTTTCATCGATTCATATCTGCGTGTCTTTAACTCTCTGAATTTTCGAAAGACACTCTTTGTAGATGTGTCGAAAGTAAATGACAAACTTGTAGCTTATTTTTTTTTTTAAACATTGAAACTTGGGAGCCATTCACACGAAACCATTTTGCCAGTGTTGTACGTTAATATCATAGCGAGTTTGTCTATTTTTCATTAACCCATTTCTTTAGATAAGCAGTAATATTATTGACTCTCAGGAATCTTAGAGCGGACTCATAAACAATCTACAGAACATCATTCGCTTGAAAATGTCTTGTAACATTTAGAAAATACCTTGTCAGTCTCCAGCGATTTACCCTGCCTCACCTGACGGCCCAGTAGGGCGAGCCGAGGTCCATCGGGGCGTCGTCCAGCCACGTCCAGGCCTCGGTGTCCTTCGTGTACCGGCCTCCCACCCAGAAGTCCGTCGTCATCTCTGTTGCAATGAGAAAGATTATTATATTACAACGGCAGGCGCATGTTAGCCAACTTACAAAGTCTAGGCGCAAAATATGTCCCGTAAGCATTGCTTACTAATAACACACACACAAACACTCACACACATATATGTATATATATATTCATATACATTGTGTATGTGAATGTGTGTATATATGTATGTATATATATATATATATATATATATATATTATATATATATTAATATATAATAAAAGAAAGAAAAAAATATATATGTGTGTGTGTGCGCGTATGTTATGCCATATATACATACATATATATAGGTAATGTGTGTGTGCGTGTGTATGTGTGGTGTGTATATGCGCGCGCGCGTGTGTGTATGTATGTGTGAGTGAGTGTGTTTAGGGATCAAGAGAAATTGTGAGGGATATCTGATGTAGTTTAAAGACTTGATCCAATGTGAAGGTCTCTTGCAATTGAGCAAAAAGTGAAACTGGTGCAATTCTACTTTGAGACCAAATCGATCGTGCAAACCCAACGATGCCGTTGCAAATGTCTTGTAGTGGTTCATTTCCCCACAAGACAAGATTCTTGAATGGACATAACCCTCAGAATGGAAGTGGACCTCATCACTGAACCAACATTGTCCAATTTAGTCCTCTTCTATCTTGTCATTAAACCAGTTGCACATTTCTACTCTAGTTTGTTTATCTTGTGCAGAGAATTTTTGTTGAATGTGATCCGGGAAAAGTTTCAAGTCCAGTTTTCATTATACGGACAGTGCTCATTCGACTCAAACCCAGCTCTTGGGGGGTGTCGACAGGATTTGTTTCGGACTTTGATCAGGCGGACAGGTATTCTGTCGCCTCTAGTTCGGCCAGACCTCCCTGTGCCAAATGTTCTCTCAGATTGAAACTTCTTTTACAATCCTTTATATTCTATTTCTGTCTGGAGCTTTTCTAACTGCAAAGTGACCTTGGTTTTTGCTATGGGTTTGCACGGTCGATTTGGTCTCAAAAGTATTGTTCCACCAATTTCCTTTTTTGCTCGATTGTAATAGGTATCCTCATTGGATGTCTCAACCTACTTAAGTAGAAAATTCCTCCATATATATCTGATGCTTTGAAGGAGCAGAATTCAGATTGGCCATTGCAGAATTATAGTTGAATGATTTTGTGGCACTTTTATGAAACACAGTAATCTATATTATCTACGTGTATATATGTATACAAATATATACCACACATACACGCATATATATATATTATATATATATATATATATATAATATATATATATATATATATATATATATATATATATGTATATATATGTCGAGATCATTTATTTGACATCTGAAAAGGTGTGTTGGTTCTAATTTC